TCTCCACTAATTAGCAAACCTAAGTCGAACGTCAGGTTAACAGGTGACCCAACAAGTGAATAGTAGTAACACCATTCTAGTTTGTCTATAATTTGATAGCATAAAACAGTCATGCATGATTAGTGGGTATGAATTCCATTAGATGTGTTTTCTTTATGCCTCACTAAGTCATCGACTTAGCGTGTGAGTGTTTCACACGCAGGTTACAGAAAGTGAATATGGAAGCTGTGAGGAGCAATATAGGTCAGCATCTCCCTTACAAGATTTCAGATCAGAAAATAGATGAGTTAAATGATTTTTTTTATTTTGAATATATTTGGCATGTACTAATTTATTGAGTTAAATATGCTCTGATCGATTTTGGTTATTGTGGTCACATTATGTAACTAAACTGCTTTTACTCTAAGGAAAGTTTTAAATTTTCTTTGAATTTTGTCAAGAGTCAAAGTTTGAGAAGTCAATGTGACACCTCGGACTCGTATCCGGGTCGGGTACGGGTTGGGGGTGTTACAATTAAGGTCATGCTTCTAGCTCGAGTGTGTGACATCGCTAAAATGCACTTGGGGTTAAAATTACCAATTTACCCTTATATGTCTCAATGAATAAAATAACCTATACGAGTTACTTACACATGATGAGAGTGTGTCATTCGTCTCTCTAATTCAAGGGTGAATCGAGGGAAATCATGATGAGAATGACTAGAGTGTCGCCACTAATTAGCAAACCTAAGTCGAACGTCAGGTTAACAGGTGACCCAACAAGTGAATAGTAGTAACACCATTCTATTTTGTCTATACCACAAGTAGCTCTTTTGATGTGCATGATTGGTTTTTAGGTTTATGAATCATTTACAGGTAATTCATGGTAAATTCCAAGTTTTTGTTTATAAGCATGAAATGTGACTCTTTTTTACCCCTAAGATCTCAAATTAGACTCTAATCATGTTTGTTAGCCTTAGTAGGACAAATGGGTGAGTTTGAGAGGCAATTTCGTGCCTAAAACAAGACACTTCATGTCTTGAGTATCGGTACTAGAAGAACAATATCAATAATGTTCAAATGTTGGAGGTTTTTCCCAAACATCGAAGTTATTTTTGGTATTGATACTCACTATGGGTCAGTATCAATACTGCTAGCAAAGTATTGATACCATCGTCATGAATTGGGAAAATTTGTCAGTTGGTTCAAATGTTCAGATTTGGAGGTTTTAAGGTCGTATAAGCTTTATGTACCCGAATACAAGTGGAAACAACTAAGGTAACTAATTACTCACCTAGAAACCAAGCAAGTTAGGATGAGATAAGATTGGTCATTGTTACTCTAGCATTATGATGTTTGACTTCTATGTTATGATATTCGAATATCTTTGACCATGTACACATCTGATGCACGTAAAATTTTGGATCATACCCAATTCTCTATAGCCTATATGTGGGTTCAGGATTTGAGTTTTTGATGCATGTAAAATATCGGTCCTCACCCCGAAACTCTTGAGTAGTCGAGATAAACTATGGATTTAAGTTTCAATTCACGTAAAATTTCATTTCTTACCCTGAGGCTACCCCGTTTCAAGATAGGCTAGCGTGTTGTCTAAGACGCATATAAAATTTCTCCTACTATATTGCTAGACCTATCTCATGTTTTTTTATATGCTTTTGCGTACCCATGACATACTATGTTAGCTAGGGGTGTTGTCTCGATATACACGTAAAATTCCTCCGACCACACCACTAGACTTATCTCAGCATGTTTTTGAGTGTATTTGTATGCACATGTCTTCTTTTGTTAGCATGATCATTTAATGAAAGAATGTAGTATGTTAGAGGTATTGTGTGACGCGGGGCGTGCAAGCTCAATGTTCGGAATGTGTTTTCGTTCGCAGGCTTCAAGTTTCGTGGCGATCGGACAATGACATCGTCGGAGGAGTCTCAACGGAGTACCAGTGCACAGTGATGACGTCTTAGTGGGCATGTAGGGGTCATGATTTAAAATGAGTCAGCTTGTAACATTTTAATTATTTATTCTATTTATCGAGTTTTTAAATTAGGGCCCCATTTTTGTAAATTGTTATGATTTTATACCTTGTATAAATACTTTAAATTGAGTATGGTTTCAAGAAAAAAAATTGGGTTAACCACTTCGGTAGTCCTGTGTGGCATTCTAATCCATGGGATTTGGGTGTTACACCAGCTCTAGGTAGGGTGGTCGAGACTGGCCTCAGGCAAGGCGGAGGAATAGTCACGATCTCGCAGAAAAGGTTCTCGTTGACCCGACTTCTTAACTTTGTTGTATCCGAGCTTCCAGATTGGGTTGGGAAGTCACAAAGGGTGCAGTTATGGAGACAGGTGGGGTTATAAAGGATCCTGTCATCCAATGGCTTCATCCCTAGAATCCAAGCATCGGTCCAAAAATTAATGCTTTCCCGTCACCAATCGACCAAAAAAACGTTTCCTTTAATAAAATCCCAAACTTTGGAGAGGGATCTCCATACAAAGGAGCAATTCTTGGCTTCAATGTTGTCGGAGATGAAGTCCTTGATTTTGTATTTGAAACAACATTTATCCGTTATTGACCGAAAGAATATCATAAAATGATTTAAATTGACTTGTGGAAGAATACATTTATCACATTAAAAGGCATCGTTTCTTGGAGCCAATATCATGATTTACTATGAGTAACTAAAATCTTATATGTGTTTTTTCATTGGCCTAGACCAGAGGCATAGATTATGATCATTGGGAAAAGTTACGTCCTCCTATTTAAAGGAAAAGTTAGAGTAAAAATCTTAAATTTCTTTTACTTTTAATTTCCAATTACGCCAAAAAAAATTTATCATTTTTTCTGAAGTCTTTTTTCCCCCTCGAGACAGTGGTAAAGGATTCCCACAAAGAGAGCCTCAATGTACGTAAGAGGATAGAGGCGAATCTATATATTTTCGGTGATTAGAGGTTCTCACCCTTAAAAGAATGGTCAGAATGAGGCCACAAATATTAATTAATATTAAAAATATATATTTTTAAAAAACAAATAAAATTTTATTAGGTCCCTTTAATTAAAAAATTGTAATTATGAAAAATTAAAAATATTTAACTCTGTTATAATATTTTTTTTAATTTCAGAAAAGTTTAATTTTTTAGCGACGCCATATAAAAGAGTTTTTTTTTTACAATGGCAACATGATTATATTAATAATGGAAGGACTTAAAATTACAATACATCAAAATATAGAGAGAAATTTAAAGACAATAGTCATTAAAATACTTATACAAAAGAAAAAATTAAAACTAAAGTTACGAAAAATAAAATAAAATCTTCCAATGAGAATGATGACCAACATCAAAATTTAATAACCTCCATAAAAACTATTTATCTATGTCGAATGAGACGCTTGACTAAGTGATAAAAGAGTAGAGAGCGAACAAAATAATCTGGCAAATTGCTTTGCTACACAATCTGATTACATCGGCAAATAAACTTTTACTAAAAGAGGGATCTAACTATAAGTTATCACCGACTAACTAATTAGAAAATAAATGTCATGATAGATTTTGTGTGAGATCCAAAACAAAAGCAAAGGTATGTGAAAAACGTATAAAAAACTATGAGAATCATGCCACAATAACAAAAAAAAATCATGTCACAAAGACAGAGAATCTTATTTAAAATTAAAGACTCAAGTAAAAAAAATAAAAGACATAATATAAAAACAAGAGAATTAATAGTCACCAAAGATCGACAACCAACATTAAGATTTGTGTCGTCGCGGCCTAAACAAAAAAAAAAAAGAAAAAAAAGACAGCACAAAAAATTGAAAAAAAATTAGAGTGAAAGAAAAAAATGTTAAAATTGACGGAACAGAACTTTAAGGCACACATTAAAAAAATCATGGTTATCAAAATCGGACTGGATCGGCCGGTTCAATCGGTTGAACCGTGAATCATTGTTCAGTCCGGTTACCTGACAAAACCGGGCTGGCAATGAACCGGCTGAAAATCGGTAGAATTGGGGTGAACCGGCTGAAAACCGGTTTGAATCACCGGTTCACTTTTTTTCTTTAAAAAAAATTAAACCAAACGACGTCGTTTGTTCAACGAGCCAAGTCAAATTCGAGTATTGTTGAGCTCGACTCGAACTCGAAAACTTTAAAAGTAAGCTCAACTCGACTAAAAAACTCACAAGCTAAAAATTATCAAGTTCAACTCGAGCTCGAAATATAATATTAAAACTTGAACTCGAAAAAGCTCGAACTCAAAAAAATTTAGAAATTCGATTGAAGCTTAAAATTTGAGCTCAATTGAAGTGAAAAAATAATTCGCTCTGTGCTCACCAAAAGGCTCTATGATTTTGAATGTCAAATTACCTCTATTATTTATAGAAGTAAGTTGGGATGTTCTTCTATGTTTCTTACCATGTAGGATTGTTTTGTTCTCATATTTTTACTCTTTAAACTTTTGGGATGCTCTTTTATGTTTTTTAGCCATGTGAGATTGTTTTTTTAAAAAAAAATTAAACCAAATGACATCATTTGTTATGATTTTTTTTAAGCCCTAATTTTATTTGTTTGATTATAGTTATATAATTATATTTATTATTTAATATGTTTTACCTTAAACATTATGTTGTAGTTGATTTGAATCATTTTGTTTCACTTGATTTTATGATTTTTAATTTATATATGTTATGACTTGTGATATTTTTATACCTTTTAATATTGTAAACTTAAAAAAAATGTTACATATATATTAATGTTGCTTTGAATACTATGTAAAATAAAAAAATATATTATTTTATATAAAATCCAGTTCAACCGCGGTTGAACCAGTGAACCAGTACCTTCACCGATTTAATGTCCGGTCCGATTTTAAAAATATTGAAAAAAAACACACTTCAAGGGCCAAATAAGAATCTGGCCATACTTTAGGGGCTAATTTGTCTTTTAAGCCTGCTATTAATATCTAGAAACTACTTGTTCTCTAGTCGTAAAAATATTACGTACCGTAGACAAATTACGGTAGTGTCTAAATCTCACGCCGCTGCCGGCAACCGCCGTTTACTTTTAAATATCGTGGCTTTACGTCGACGATGATAGTCGACTGGGACGATCATCCTGACGAAGCACAAAAGGCGGAGCAAGATTATAACCTCAATTTCGACTTTCTTTCTCTAGTTTCCAAGCCCAAGGTAAACACAATTCCTAGTGTTAAAATTTAAGAAAGAAGAGAGATCTTAGAAATCTGCGTGTGTTCTGAACTGCTTGTTTAAATGCAGGATTATTATAAGATATTGGAAATTGATTACGATGCCACGGAGGATGCTATTCGCTCCAATTATATCCGTCTTGCACTGGTTCCATTTTTTCTTTTCTCAAAAGCTAAATTGATTTCTTTATATTTATATTCCTTCTTCTTATATATGGGGTTGTTTCTGCAGAAATGGCATCCAGATAAGCAAAAGGAAGATGAGAATAACGCCACTTCAAGATTTCAAGAGATAAACGAGGCTTATCAGGGTAACCATCTTTCTTTCGCTATCATTTCTTCTTTTCTGTTTAGGTGTTCGCTTGCTTTTTGAGTAAATTTATGATTCCTTCGATTTTTTTATGTATACATGGGTTTTCTGTATTCGTTTTCATTATTCTGATGTTGCATAGTTTTCGTTTAATCTTTTGTGTAAGGGAACCATTGAATTTATGCTATATATCTTCCATAATCTGCATATTAATTTTTTTCTTGCGAATATTCTGTCTACATTGCCTCTCTTTTATTGATTTGTTCATCATTTAGTTTATTTCAAATAAATTGGGAAAATATAATTATACCAAAAGAGAAACAGTTGAGGAGGATAAGCAACATTAGCAATTTAGCATCAGAGCAAACAGAACTTTGGGTCGCTATAAGATAATTGGAATTCATAAGGTGTTGCATCTAATTAGTTTTATATGCTTTTGATTGTTCTTCGCTTTTTAGTTTATGATTTCACTGTCTACCCATGGTATGGATTTATTTGAAAGATAATTATGGTTGCAAATATCTTCATGATTCCTCTTTATTTTTGGGTAACCCTTTTTCTTTATTTCCGAGCATTTCAACAAGGATGCACAACTTACTCCTATAAAAACCATCTTATTAAAGGTGGTCTGTACTGGTATAAATAAAGTATCATTTATAACAGTTATTCATGAATGAAAATATGTTGGGTTTAAATTTGCAACATTGTTAATGCCGTGCTATTTCTTAATGACTTGGTAGCCATGTTATACTAAAGGGAGGAGTGAAAATTGTGCATGGTTGATATAATAGCTAGCAAATCTATGACCATGTTCTGTGTACTGGCATGAATTGGTGAATTGAGTTTATATGTTTAATGATAGTTGAAGACTTGAAGTTGTTTGAACCGCTAACATTTGGTTGAAAAAAGAGTAGTAAGTATATTTACATGCTTGTGAATATGAATTTGAAATTAATCATTAACTGCTTTGGCTTCAATTAACAGTGCTAATTGATCCAGTCAAGAGGAGTGAATATGACAAGAAGGGGATGTTGTACGCTTACGACAATGACATAATTGTAAGAATTTCTCCCGTCATGCTTTTAAGTATGTATATATACTTTTATACTTCCAGATGGATTAGAGTTTATGTTTTAATTCACTGGCTGCAGGAGTACCTTAACCGTTACAAGGGCCTTATATTAACATGTAATGGTCTTGGGGTTAGGCAATCTATTTGGTAAGGCCTGACAGGAGGAACCAAGGTCCTTTCTGTTTATTGTCGCAATGCTCGAACTTTGAGAAAACCAGATTTGTTGACAGTGCAGTTGAGAATGAGAACAAGCTTCGATGTATTACAAGGTTATGTTATACAACGGTTGTGAAGCAGAGAAATTCATGTAATCTGTAACATCTTATGCTTGTCCGTCTTATGAGGGTATGACCAGTCGTCAAATGCATGCCTGTTATTAGTAGGGCTGTTGTTGGTGTTTTCTTGTTAGGTAGGAATGTAGGAGCAATATATTATGGGAACCAATATTCTACTACTAGCTAGTTAATGGGTTGGCCAGTGCTCTTTCTCTTTTACTTGTCTTGGTAACTTGTTAGTTCAGACATTGATATTAGTCTAGTCAGTGGCTCAAGTTCACCGATTCTAGCGAAAGCTAATGTGTAGACATATATGGTAGAATCGTAATCATAGAATATGACCCTAATCAAAATGCATACATTGGTCTCGGTATACTATGAGGATGGTGAGAAAGATACATATTTTACATCCCAAAGGAGCCAAGTGGAGATATTATTTCCAGTACAAAAGTTCCTACAAAAATGAATTGCCTTGCTTTGAGTGCAGTTTGAAATATTTAAGGCAAAATAATAACGAAAGTCAATTAGTTTCCAATGTTTATAATAAATTCCTTTTGTATGAGAAAATATATTTTATTATTGATGATTGTTGCAGGCATGATTAGTCATATAGGTAAATTAACTGCTTATGGGAACTGATAGTTAACATTTGTAACGAGTAAACGACTGAATCTTTCTTTTAGGAATTCATATAATTTTTTAACAGCCAACTTTTTATGTAATAAGTATTATTGTTATGAGTAATAATCTTATAATTATAATGTAAGTGAATGTTGCCACAAGTAATTGAGATTTAAGAATTTGAGCTTTACGGTTAATTTTGAATCCAATTATCGTTACTCTTAGTGGGTAATCTTTAAATGTTTATTTAAGTCTTAACTAGATCTTAGGTATGCCTTGATTTTGAACTGAGAAAGTCACTTCTAACCTAAATTTTATTGTATCAAAAAGAATCTTATAATTATAATGTAATTATATATAGTTTAGTAGATTCAGTTTAGATATCTATTAATACAACATGTCTCGCATGTTTAATTACAAATAATTAAATTTAATTTAATAACCGAGTATATATATATATAGAAAGGAATATGCTTATGGAATTATTTTGCTTTTTATACAATATCTAATCAACTCATAGCTCTAATTGACGAGAATGATACGTGTTTAAATGTGTTTGTAGTTACATCAAATATCAATTGATCCAATTCTAAATTGATAATAATATTAGATTATCTGTTTAATAGATATTCTTTCCTTTTGATAATGATATGGTTTGCATTATCTCCCCAAGCACAATCAATTTGATTCAACCCACTGAAAGCAGTCTAAATTTAAGCCCTATCCATACTTCACCCTTTCTCGTACTAAAAATCAATTACATCAATTATCAATATGGATTATAATACTTTAAAAAAATAAAGGGTAAATTATAAATTTCATCACTAAATTTTACTCTCTCCTATTTTGCTCACTGAACTTTAGAAGTTCTCAATTTTCTCACAGGTTTTTTTGCCCAGTCCGCCATTAAATAGTTAAAATGATGTCATTTTAGAAAAAATGTTCATCAAAACGACGTCGTTTTGCATCTATATAAAATAAGTCCATTTATAACGTCATTAGTGAATAGTGAGAAAAACGACTGGTGAAAAAAAATCAATGTATTAAGTTAAGTGAGAAAACTGAAAAAATTTAAAGTAAAGTGAGTAAAATAGGAGAAAAAGTAAAATCCAGTTACTAAATATATAATTTACCCAAAAATAAATTAAATACTTAATCAACTTAGTTTAACCATAGGTTAGTCGTTTTTTCCACAGTAAACGTCATAATAAACCTTACTTGGTAAGCTTATTTTAACCAAATTTTTATTTTTTTAATAGTTTACGATGATTATAAAGTAATATATGTTTATAATCTTATTTAATCATCGGTGACACACGTAAATCCTACAAACGCACACTCAATTGTTCAAATCATTATAGTCATTCAATGAGTTGACCAAATTTTTATAATTTACTCGATGTTATTGAATAAAATGATATCAAATTCCTTTAAACATTTTGTAACGAGTAAAAAATAAAGGTACTATTCTTAAACTCGTCCTTCAACTATACCTTAATTTTCAAAATTTGTTTTTAATATACCCTAAAACAATAACAATCAATAAAGTTATGTCGTATGTTATGTGATGTGTTTTTATTAGGTGATATACACTTTTGGGGTGACACGAGGAAAAAAAAACAATAATTTAGGTATCACTATCTATTAAAAAAACTTTAAGGACCAATGTGAAAGTTAAAATATAGTTTTAGGGCCAATTTACTAATAAGTCGGAAAATTAGACTTCATATTTTTTATTTGTTTGCCTGCTTGGAGCTGAATGAAAGCCGCCAAAAGAGACAACGATAGAAGATGCCTTTGGATTAGGGTTGTAAATGAGACGAGACAGATCGTGAGCTACTCGAGATCGACTCGATCAATGCTCGATAAATACTAGGATTGAATGGACTCGACTCTAGCTTGAGTTTGACTCGAATTCTTAAAAAGCCGAAACGAGCTATTTGATACTCGTCTCGAAAAGCTTGTGACCAGCTCGAAAATATAATATATAAGATAATATTTTTTTTAAAAAAAATATTAAAAATATTAATATTTATGTATTGATTTTTTTAAAGAGAATACATTAAGATTTTCATGTATTTAAGGTTCAGGATCGAGTTCGAGTTTGAGGCTTCAATCGAATTAAGTTTAAGAATTTTTTTCTTCATTTCGAGACTTTTCGAGCTGCTCACGAGCTTCAGTTCAGGATTTCGAGTTCGAGTCGAGTTTGAAAAATTTAAGCTCACGAATTTTCGAGTCGAGTCTAACTCAATTTCAGAATTTTCGAGTCGAGTCGAGCTTAACAATACTCGAACTCGACTTGGCTAGTTTACACCCCTACTTTGGATGACTGAGCAAGAGACGTTATCATTCATGAAACTCACCGTTTCGAGCTGGGTTGGGTCCCACTTACCAACAATGTTAATCTTATCTCCGGAATTCCATTTTAAATTTCCCATTACTTTTCAAATCAGTCCCACTTTCCTCGACTCATAATCAGTATCTATTTTAAAAATAACACCCAACCAACGAACAATAATTGTTCTAATATCATTTTCTCAATTACCATTTTAGCCTCCTAAACTAGGCGTGAAAGGTTAAATTTTACTAAAGGTCCTATACTATGCATTTAGACTGATTTACTCCCTCCATTTTATTTTGATACTTCTAAGAATATGTATTTTAATTTTCAGACCAACTTTTTCATCAATTATGAACAATAATTTGATATGCTTTATGTCGGAATCGTATTTCGGTTGGACCCGGAATTGGGTTTCGACTTGAATTAAATGAATTGGAGTCGCCACCGACCACTTTAAAACGAATTTAGGTAGGTCGGACACCATCTTACCTGATCTGTGTTGTGCCAAAGATGTGTCGGATTCGAGAGTCGGTTACAGTCAAGGAAGGGTTAGCACCCTTGAACTGCTCTTTCGGTACTACGTAATTTCCAGTCGTCTTAAGTTAAGAAAATTGAAAGTTTAAATTAAAAGGTAAAATTGTGATCCAAATTACTTACATCCGATTGATTTGAAAAGTGTACCCTTTAAAAATCGAGAATGTGATAGAGAAAAAAAAGTTAAAGAGAACCAATAAGATAAAAAGAATAAAATAAAAATAAAATAAAATAAAATAAAATAAAGAGAAGAATAATGAATAAATGAAATAGATAAGATGAAGAAAGAATAATAGTAAATACATAATATATATAGTAATGTTTTAAAAAAGAAAAACCCTACATCAAAGTATTAATAAAATAAAAGAAAATATATATAGATATAATAATAATATTTAAACTACTCTCCCCTCACCGAAAGTGGGGAAGAAAATTTCCTTAGTTGAGGACAAAGGGGGTCGGGTAATGATATTTTAAAGGTTAGGTTAGATATATAATATATATATACACATATTAATATAAATGATAATAAAGACAAGAGTAAAAATGAAATAAAAATAATATAATGTAATTGTAATAAAAACCGAAAAAAATATAAATAGAAAAAAAATATATAATTATAAGATATTATAATAGTAATAAAAACCATAAAATAATAAAATAAATAGAATAAATAGAAAAAATATATACGATTATAAGCTATAGTACTTTGAATAAATAAATAATATATATATATATATATATATATATATATATATATATTAATAATAGGTATATAAACGAAATATTACAAAAATATAAGTATATGTAAAAAAAATAATAGGGGTTAAATTGAATTAGAAAGCAAGTTGGGTGGCCAAATTAAAACAAAATCGGGGTTTTAAAATCGAGTTTGGGATCAAAATAACATAACCTTAAAATTGGAGGGACCAAAAAAGGTGGTTTACCCTATATTTTCTGAAAACATGCGGGTCATGGCGTGTGTGGGTTGGATCGTGGAGGCTCGATGGGTCTAGTATAAATCCCAAAAAAAAAATTTTAAGTTTCATTTCTCTCCTTCTTCTCACGAAATGACCCCCTCCCCCTTAACAATTCTCTGAAATGTTCTTCCAAATGAAGAACGAGGGCCCCGGTGGCTGTTGCCGCCTCGTCGTCGCCGTTCATCGGCGGCAAAACTTTTATTTTTTATTTTTTTCAAAAATCCCAAAAGCTCTTTCCACCCTCTTTTTTAAAAATTAAAACTTTTCTTAAAAAACAAACACCTCGGGGCTAGATCTAAAACAATAGATCTCGAAAACGCCCCGCTCATCGGCCAAAAGCTTTTTCTTTGTGTTTTTCGAATCAGGAACACACAAACACAACCGAGAAGAGCCACATGCAAGCCAAGGACACACCAAATCGAAGGTAAAAATAAAAAAATAATACATTTATTTCTTTCTTGCTTTCGGATATTACAAGTGCTTGGATTTGCCTTTAGTATCTGCTAGTATTTCCTTAATAATCCTCTGTCCCCTAGAGTGTCTAGTTGTGCTTATTTATAATACAAAAAAGTGTCCTGTTTTTAGTATTTGATCCCGAGTGAAACTCGGTGTGCTTGGTTGGTGAGTTTCCTACTAACCCACGTTCGTTGCGTCTGTTGAAACACAAGGAGACTGGTTGTGTGGGGCGAAGGAACCGGCGGCAGTTTCAGGCTTCATGCAACAGGGGACATGTGGTGTCGTATGAGTGATGGGGGTTAGGGTTTCAAAAACCCTACTCTTCTTGGATGTTGGGTTAGGTCATGTGCATGCTTGGGTCTGCCAAACAAGCTACTGGGCCACATGCTCTGTAATCATTTAT